TGAGAAGGAAGAACCACAAAGTGAAGTGAAGTGCCATGATATTATGGGCCCATACTATCAACATGACCGTCACTACTAATGTCATCCTTGACCACCTGGCTGCAGTAGCATTTGTTAGGTGCTCCATTGTGTTTGGAGTTATGCTCCTCCCTCCCTGAGAGCCCACCTTCTTAAAAAATTAAATGTCCTTAAGTATGTTTCTGGGTTCTCAATTATTTCTTTTGGCCTAGTTAACTATTCCTGCATCAATACATTATTGCCTTATGTACTTTATAATAAATCTTACATGAGGAGGGGAACAAATCCCCTCAATATAATTTTTAAGTTGTTTATTGTGTTAAAAATATATGTAACATAAAATTTACCCTTTTAATCATTTTAAGTGTACAGTTCAGTACTGTTAAGATATTCACATTATTGTGCAACCAGCCTCCAAAACTCTTTAATTTTGCAAAACTGAAACTGCACTCATTAAACAACAGCTCAACATTCCCCCACTGCTGACCACCACCATCCATTCTACTTTCTGTTTCTGAATTTGACTACTCTAGTTACCTCCTGTAAGTGGCATCATATAGTATTTGTATTTTTGTGACGGGCTTATTTCACCTAACATGTCTTCAAGTTTCACCCACATTATAGTGTGTGTGTCAGAATTTCCTTCTTTTTCCAGGCAAAACAATATTCCATTGTGTGTATAGACCACTCTTTTCTTATCCATTCATCTTCCAATGGACACTTGGGTTGCTTCCACATTTTGGCTATTGTGAATAATGCTGCTATGAACACGGGTGTACAAATATCTCTTTGACAGCTTGCTTCCAATCCTTTGTGCATGTACCCAGAAGTAGAATTGCTCAGTCTGATAGTAATTCTATTCTTAACTTCTTCAGGAACTTCCATACTGCTTCCACAATATCCATACTATCTTAATGTTCCCACCAGCAATGCACAAGGGTTCCAATTTCTCCACATCCTTGCCAACACTTATTTTCTGCTTATTGTTGTTTTTGTTGTATTCGATGGCAGACATTCTAATGTAAATGAGGTGGTATCTCATTGTGGTTTTGATTTGCATTTCCCTAATGATTAGTGAAATTAGGCTTCTTTTCATTGAGCTCCTTATTGGTCATTTGTACATCTTCTTTAGAGAAATGTCTATTCGAGCCTTTTGTCCATATTTTAATTGGATTGTTTGTTTTTTATTGTGGAGTTGTAGTTCTTTATATATTCTGGATATTAACCCTTTATCAGGTATATTTTTTGCAAATATTGTCTCCCATTCCATGGGCTGGCTTTTCACTTTATTGATAGTGTTTGCACAGAAGTCACTAATTCTGATGTCAAATTTATCTACTTTGTTGTTGTTGCCTGTGCTTTTGGTGTCATATCCAAGAAATCATGGGCAAACCCAATGTCATGAAGCTTTCCCTCTATGCTTTCTTCAAAGAGTTTTATAATTTTAGATACTACTTTTAGATATCTGATCTATTTTAAGTTGATTTTTTGTATATGGTGTAAGGCAAGGGCCCAATTTCATTCTTTTGCACCTGAATATCCAATTTTCCCAGACCATTTGTTGAAAAGATTGTTCTTTCCCCATTGAATGGTCTGGGTACTCTTGTTGAAAATCATTTCACCATATATATGCAAAGGTTTGTATCTGAATTCTCTGTTTTCCCTCAAGGTTAATTTTAAGAGAGAAGAGTAGAATTCAAACTTGTATATACAGTATGAATTCAGGTATTATTTTTATATTATAAAAATGCTATTTAACAAATAAAAAATACACTTATTATAATTTAGAAAGTAAAGTATAAAAAAGAAAAAATCACTGATAATCTTATTTTTATGTACTGTGTGTATCAAGAAATATTTATAGATCCCCTAGGTTAAGTAATTCAGTCTCATTATAAAATTGCAATCACACTTTTTGACAGTTTTGTGTCTAATTTTTGTTATCTAATACTCTATTTTAACATTGTCCAGAGGCATTTTTCCTGAAAAACATTATGTACATAGCTATACAATATTCCAATGTCTAAATAATATAGACTTCATTATTCCTCACTTCACTCCTCCATTAGTGTTGCATCTCTTATCTTGTTTTCAATCTCACTACTATAAACACTGCTGCAATAAACATCATTAAATTTTTAGATATTTTAAATTATAACCTTAGGCATACACTACTTTAATAAAAATAATAAAGAATTTTGTTTGAAAAAATAAGGTAAAACATTGCTCTAGATACTGACCCTTTCTAGGATACCATTCCTCAGCGGTATGAAATATCGAACTTGCTACAACTTTAAACATAGCTTTATGTCACACAGATTAGGTTTTCCTTTATAGTCATTTACAGTTTCAAAATAACAGGAAAACTATTTGTTTTCCTCCAACAGTAGATTCTAGATCAAAATTCTTAAGACTTTAGAATATATTATTTGGGAAACTATTGAGTCATCTTCTCTTACTGCACCTTTCAATCTCAAATCTCATTCTGGTTTTACTGTTTAACATTTACTTTCCAAAACAAAAAGGTAATTAATTTAAATGACATAATAATTACTAGAAGATAGGTTTTCTTTTTTTTTTTTTTTATTGGGTGGGGTTAGGAGCACTTTCTACTTGCCTACAGACAAAATTCAACACTTAAATTGTAAATTTCTCCTACTTTCTGCCTTAATAGCACTAATTTATTCTTACCAAGTTTATCATAGATGGCTAGGTCAAAAGTGAGTAGGCAAAGAAAACTGATTTCTAATTTCTATTATTTTTCCTAATCTTTATGTGTAAATACTCATCTGATAGGGTTTGGTAGTGTCTTGCTAATGGATTTCAGCCCCGGGCAAGTTCACTATGGATTCAATGTAACCAAAGAAGTGAAAATAGAATGTTCTTGAGGCGAAAGGGTTATCACCCAACTTTATTTCCACGGTGGCAGGCCAATCACTAGAATTCCGTCCACTCAGATTGAGTCTGATTGCAGCAAGCTGGTCTCTGCCTCTGGGCCTCTCTGCCCCCGTGGACATCTCAGTCTCTGTCCTCGGCGCTGCCACCACTCTGCTCTGCTCTCATGCCACCGTGTCGCCCAGAGCACTGGGCAGAGCTCTTTATATAGAGTCAGTGACAACATATTGCCCACACGTGTGTAGCGAGCTAGCCGACCAGGACCAGGTGACAATCCTGGCCACGGGAACCTTCACTTTATCCACAGGTAGTAAATTTACTTTTGAATCCTGATTTAAGACAACTTAAAATTCACATTTTAACCTAATAATCCATATATTTACCGTTTAAAAGTTAACATTTTGGTGACTGAGAGGACAAGCAGGGCTTTCTGGGATGTTGATATTGTTTTATTGATCAAGATGTTGGTGACAAAGGTGTTTACTTTGTAAAAATCTATTCGGTTGTACTCTGTGCACATTTCTATATGTACTGATGCTTAACAAAAGAGTTTTCTTTAAAATTATATTTTAAGAATTTTCTTAAGGATATGAATCTCTAAACTACATTTTGTAATTTAATGCTAAACAATTTAAATGTTAATGACTATTCTAAAAATTTAAGGTATGAAAATAACTTAAAATGAGGTATTTACTATGATTTTACAGATATACTTTATTCTCACATCATTCTTCTAAGTTCAACACTTATCTTCCATATATAAAAACAAAAACTGCACCAGCACTACCAAATAGGCTCACCCTGAAGCACTTTAAATGAAATGATGCAGTTCATAAAATAACATTCTTATTTAAAAGCTTTCATTTTCCAATTACATGCATCATATTCTACCACCGATTCATTCCCACTCTTCCAGTTGTAGCTATAAGTTGAACATTGCAGACCTCATGTCCACCAAAATTCAGAGAAATAAAATACATGTTGGTATTGCTCATTATGATGTGTTATGTATGCAGAAACTAGGCAATTCTGTGTTTCTTTGGCAGTTTAAAAGTTTTTCTTCCAAACCTTGTATCATATGACATCAGACACAGGTATTAGAAATGAAAACAGATGTAGCATCCTCCCAACCTCCATTATGTAAAGTAACAGTATAATATAAAAAGTACATTAAATTATTATAAATTATGATTATCTTCTCTAATAAGTTTGTAAGCCATATCACTTGGTTCATCTATTATTGCTTTCAGAGTTTTCCTCTAAACTTATATATGAAGTGTAAATATACAACTATTTATTAGTAATATTAAGAACATATTTACAATCTTACGTGCTCAATATTTTTAAATGCTTTTCAGTCCTTAATCCTCTAAATGATCTCTAAGTGTTTCTGGGCATGGTTGGTATTATAGAATCAAGAAACTAAAAACAATATAACGCCCCCCGAAGTAGCATTTATTGCAACATCTGTAACCAGTACACATTAAAATTTTACAAAGCCAATGCATCCCTAAATATTTAAGCAATTTTTCTAAAATGTTTCCCACACATCTTGTATGTAACAGCCAGCAAGAGGAAATGTGCTTAAGACCTGCCCACATAGTAAAATCAGCTACTTACAGCAGAGGGTACTTTTGAACTCCTTGCCCCACCTCTATTACTACTAAATTCCCCTTCTTTAATTTCTAGTCTCTAAATCCTAATAACCCCATTTTGCCAATGGGTTTCTGCCCCAGGGAAGTTCACTATGGATTCAATGTGACCAAAGAAATGACAATAGAACTTTCTTACCATGAAAGGATTATACCCAACTTTATTTCCAAGGTGGCAGGTCAGTCACCAGAATCCGTTCACTCAGAGCCAGTCTGCACGCTGCAAACCCATCTCTGCCTGTGGGCCTCTCTACCCGCGCAGCCATCTTAGTCTCTGTCCTCAGCGCTGCCACCACTCCAGTCTCGTCTCTGCTCTCCTGCAGCCTTGCAGCCGTGTCACCGTGTCACCCAGTGCACTGGGTGGAGCTCTTTATATACAGTCAATAGCAATGTATCGCCCACACGTGTGTAGTGAGCTAGCCAACCAGGGCCAGGTGAGAATCCTGGCCACAGGAACCTTCACTTTATCCACACCCCCTAAATAGGATGAAGTAGAACATACTTGGAAATTAAGGATCAGCTTTTAAACTGCCCCCTGAGCACCTGTCAAGTGTTAACCCTGGTGCTATCTCACAAAGGTGCCCTGAAATAGGGGTCTGCATGGGCACCCCCACTGCCAATCATCAGACTGGGTCCAAGAATCCTGAGACTCTAGATTAGCTCCCATTGCTTAAATCTATTCTTTCTATTCCTCTTCCATATTTTGCCGGGTTTATTCCAACCTACCATTATTTCTAATCTTGCCTTAAGCATAAGTGCTACCAAATTGTTTTCCAAAGACACATTTCACATTAAGATTTCATGTTCCCACACGGTTTTCGTTTCAATAAAATTAAATGGCACTATGAACACGTAATTTAACAATGCCCTTTAGTATACCATGCATGTTCAGTGGGTTTGTTTTTCCCTTCATGAGATTTGGAGAAAACTATTGATGAAACTTCATAAAAACCAATGAAAATATCACTTTGGATTTCAATTAACTACTTAAATCAAGTAGCTCTACTTTAGAGGCTAGCACTTCCAGGGTAGGTGGTACAGCAGTGAGGGGGTTTCTGGAGGAGAATGTTCTGGAGCCTAACTACCTGGGTGCAAATCTGCTTGCTAGGGACTAATTCAGGTAAATTACTCAGTTGGCTCATCTGCACAAAGGAAATAATACGATTTACCTGCAAGGGTTGTAGCGAGGATCACACACGTTCATCCGCGAAAGCAATCACAACAGCACGTGGCATGTAGTGAGCATTTAATAAATGTTAGCCTTCATTAACACGTAAACCTGGAGAAAATGTAAAAAAAAACGCAGAACTGTATCTTGGCAAGAATAAGATGTATCATTTTTCTCCAGCACCGTCTTTCAAATTTCTGTAATCTATACCCAAGACAATAATTACTTCTCAAAGGTAGCACAGATTTAGAGAACAAATGACAAGGTAACTATTTTGAGTGGTCTTTGCATTATTTTCTGAAATAAATTGTAAGATGCTTACAGAATGTCGAAGGACAATGCTGGCAGTTTCACTTTCAATAATTCTCCTTCTCATGGTTCTTTTTTAAGTTTAACAATCATATAGTTGTAAAAGGTTTTCTCCCTGTCTGAATAGGTGGGAAATGTTGCGGGCTTATTCCATTCTCTATAACAGTACTGTATTTTAGTAGAAAAAGTAAAATATAATCGAAATGCCCTTACAATGTGTCCACACAAAGCCTTTGTAACAAACATTTCTGAATCTACCAATACCAGGAGTAGTCAATGTTTAAGGATACGGGAGTGTAATTTACGCTGACCGGGAACAGACAGACGTCGCATGATTCAACATTAGTAAACCAATTTACAGCTTTGAATACGTACACGCACTCGACCTCTGACATTTCCGGGGTCCTGAAGCCGAATGAGGCCCGCGCGGACCGGTCCCAGCTCGCGGCTTCGGGGCCTGCAGGACCACGGGTTCGAGCCCAGGGCGCGGCTGGGACTCGTTCGGTTTCTGCGTGCTCCCCGCGCTCGCCGCCCGCACGGAGTTCGGGAATGCCGAGACGGGACCTGTCTGACCCGGGGCTCAAGAGAGGAGAGCAGAGCGAGGACCCCCTGCGCCCCGCGCGGCCGGAGTTTGGGAACTGCGGGAGTGGAAGTAAAAGTACGCGCGGTCTTTAGAGCGGCGATTCACACGCCGAGCCTGGCGGAAGGCCGGAGGGGCCCTCCTGGCAGCGAGGGCCGCAGGCTGTTGGCTGAGGACCCCAGAGCGCCCCGAAGCTGAAGAGCCCCCACTGGGTGCACGGCAAAGACAGGTCTGCGGTTTCTCCTCTCTAGGCCCTGGAACTCTGCTCCAGCCTGTCCCGGAGGCCTGAGCTCAGAGACCTGTGCAAAACTACTTACAAGTAGTGCGTAAAAGCAAAGCGTCCCTGGGTGGGCTCGAACCACCAACCTTTCGGTTAACAGCCGAACGCGCTAACCGATTGCGCCACAGAGACTTCATTAGCACATCTTTTTCAGCTATAGCCTTTGTAAGAATAATAAAGGCAGTGCTTGTTGCGCACTGTTTTCTGATTCATATTGCTGAAACCCGAAGGTTTCTACCTAACATTTCTCACTCTCTCTAATTCTATTTCCCACTTTTAAAGCATATCGGAAAATGAGAAAATACAGCAAGATAGAGCAGAATTTCAGATTGCAAACGTGTGTTATAATAGTTGTGGTTTTCCAGCTCCCGTTTGAAACATTCTATTTCAGGAAGGTAACTATTACTGACGTTTCCTTTTATAGGGAAATAAAAATTGTAATCTTATGAGTTGAGGAACTTTCCTTTTGTTTCAAACTCTTTGTCCAGTGCTTTGTTTGCTAAGCTTCATGGTTTACTTGTGCAGCATTCACAAGTCATCTGAATTGTATTTGCCTTATTTTTATTTTCGGGTATTATTAAATACATATATGCAATCTGTTTATTTTACACTAACCTATAGTGCAATTATCTGTTACCAATATTGTGTTATTGAAAAAAGGCATTAGGAAAAAGCTAGGTAACAGTCTTTAGCCTCTCTGCATTGTAGTTCATTGCTAAATCCGCCCTTGATTCTCCCTGGAATTAGCCTCTACACCCACATTTGAGCAATGCCACTTAAAATGTACTTTTCACGGGCTATTTAGAACCGAATTTGAGCAAAGAGAAGTTAAAGGAAAAAGTATGATTTATGACTAACTCTTGAAAATCCCTAGCATAGAGACACTGCTGGCAAACATTTTACATCCCTAAAAGTACTCTTATCTGAAATCTTTTCCCTTGTGGTGAATATTTTCTGATGCCTTTTGAGGTACTGTTCAAAACTCCAAACACTCCTTTTTTCCTTTTCCCTTCTCAAATAATTGCTAGTTTCCATTTCATGGCTCTATATTTAAAATTTTAAGTCACTGTTCAGAATCACTCAAGAAAAAATTCATATCATGATTTATAGAAATTGTATGCAACAGGCCTTAGTGCTATCAACATTTTGAGTTCCTGTTGCTTGATAAGACAACCTAAATTGAATTTGGAACCAATTAGGGGAGTTCCTTGAAAGTGCTGGGATAAATAGCTGTGAATTCACACCAAGCTGTACTACCACGATGTCAACAAACTTTTAGAAGTGCACTTGAAAATTTTGAGTTGGAAAAAACAATACAGGAAACACTTTAAAGTACATACAATGAGTCTCATTTAATTATATGATGCTGCCTTCATATGTGATACTAAAACTTCATTTATATTTTAGATGCCTGTTAATATGAGCTAAAATAATCAGGCACTGATTTTTTTCTCCCAACACCAAAGTGAGTGTCCTTTTCTCTGGTTTTGTTCTTACGTCTATTCAGTGAGAACAGACTGCAACTAGTGCACCTCACCACCCTTTCATTCAATATTTACTTTCCTGCTTAAAGTAATAGTAGGAACAGTTCTATCCATGTAAGCATCTTTAGCTCTAATCTCTTCCCTCATGTCAGTCATTGTACTAACATTTCAACTTCTAGACAAATGATGAGAAACAGTTGATGAAAAAAACTAGTATTCAAAAAGGAATATTAACTCTTGTCGCGTGCCCTGTCCTCGCCGGCAAGAACAGCATGCAACAACAGCAGGATTCTTCTGCAGAAAGCTTTATTCTTCAGCTCTTTGTGAAACAAATGAGTTGGGCAGGACCCAGAGGGGAAGGAGAGGCTTGCTTATATAGTTCTCATGCTCTGACCTGGTTGGTGCGGCTCCATATGCCTTATTAGCATAACCATTTGGTGGGTCTCATTGGTCCTTATGCCAAGGCGCAATTAGCATGTAGTTTAGTGGTGTGGGATGATTTGTCATTAGGAAGTTCGGGGCCTTCCGGCTGCCCTGCATTGGGCGCTATTTTCTGAGCGTGGCTGCCAACAAACTCTGTGTACTAAAAATTTGTCTGAGTATAATTGTTCGTTTTAAAACTCATTCTTCAAGCCTGGTTCTGTAGTTGTTAATATTTTTAATGAAATAAATGGCTATTTCCACACTAAATTAGCTTTGCCTCCATTTTTTGGTCTCTTCACTTGAAAATAAATATTAAATGTATCGAATGGAATCTCAGTGTTATACTCCAATGATGTATATCAAACTTAGCTTTCAAGCAAAATGTCCCCTTACAAAAATGAGTATGTGTTGTCATCTAAATCTTTGTGATTATGTCATCTTAGGCCTTAGCATCTTGCCCCGTTTTTAAAGCCAAAGTAAAACCACTGGATTAATTTTAGAAACATACATTCTCTCTCCTTCAGTTTCAGGGTAACACAAGACAAATAATTCTTACAGTTTCATTTGTACTAGGTCTTTATAATTGCTAAACATGAAAAGGGCTGGGCATTTGCCCCTTTTTTGTTTATCATACACAATTGAACTATAACTTAACCGTTTCCAAGAAAAGTACCCTATCACAGGGGCTGGCCTGTGCAGATTAATGGGCCTATATATTTTATTTCCTTCCTAGAGAGTTAAAAAAGAGAGAAAAGAACATCTGTGAAAATGGGATTTACCTCTCTTAACAGACAAGGCAAGACGGGCCACATTGATTTATAGACCTTCCAGGTATCATGAGTCCAGTGCTTTCAGATGATGTGCCTCCATCTTTGTACCAACAGAACGAGCAACTCACAGGATTCCCACATGCCCTCACTTCTTTTCATTGACTATATTTCAGAAGGATGGTAACTAGGTCATTAAAAATGAAAAATCCAGTTAGTGAGAATTTTAAAAGAAATCCAGTGAGGTAGAGAAATCATCCCAATAAATGGAAGACTATGATGCTAGGAAACAAGTTAAAAGAGAATTCTAAACCAGGTGTCACAAGAGCAAGTAGGACGATGAGACCAATTTTCAAAGCCAATTGAAGTCATATTTTAAAATGAATCTATAGCAAAGAGGATTGCACTCTTCCAACCACTCTCAAGCTTGCAGGTATTTCCTGCTCACCAAAGTATCATACCTGTTCCAAACTGTTGACTAAGGGTCATTATTAGTTTAGCAGGCCAATAGCAGCATGACACAAAACACACTATTCACAGAGAATACTGCTTTCATAGTTAGCCATTAAAGTGTCACAAATAAAACTGAAAAAGGTAAATTAGAACTTCATGTGTTTTTTTCATCATTTTTTAAATTGTGCCACTTGGGAACATTTTGTGAAAATATTCAGGTAATTATCTCCATTTTATTTTTAACTAAACAGGCATAGTTTAAGAGAAAAGGGAAAGGAAAACAGAAATAATATATAGATACTCTACCTAGTGGGTTCAATCAAAATTATAAAAAATAGTTTTTTCTTCATGAACCACTTCTTTGTATATGGAATCATTTTATGGCTCTGCCAAATAATACAGATCTAAAGTTGTAATCATTGCTTCTTTCATTAGCAGGAAAGTATTACCCAATAATAGTATCAATGATTTCAGCTGTGTCCAGACCAACAGACTCTTGGATCCAGCTAGAAATGGTGTGGGGGAAAGAGGAGCATTGGTTTTAACTTTCTTCAGTGCATTGGGAAACTTCTCTAGGAAGAAGCTACGGTTATCTCAGTAACTTTGATAGGCTCTACCTGATAGTCCATCTCTTGACCACACAACTACTAGGGAGGGAGCCATGGCCTTTTATTTCACAGAGCAGTTTGATGCAATAATTTTTGCTATGCCATCTATACTGTAAATGCGCTGGCAAATAGGCAGTCTTGCCTATCTGAACTCATCTATTAAAAATTAACATTAAAAAAGATCAGAACAGATACCCTCTTTTCATTTCCTTCAAAAGAATAAGAAAATTAGCAGAAGTCAAAGAAGACTCGATTCCTTAGCTGTGGACTGCCTGGGGATGGAAGGGAAGGGCCAATCAGCCAAGGAAGCCAGGGACAGAAAGGAGGAGAAAGCCGGTGTGCAATGAATTGAACAAGGTAGATGGATAGAAAAGCAAGAGCTCTAAATACTGCATGGCTTAAAGTAAGTGTTTCTCTATTTCCTCCTATCTAGAATTAATATTTGCCCTACCTAATTCATAGACCTATTGGAAAATAGCACATGAATATATTTCTTTCACTTTCAAAATGTTTTATAGATATACTACTTAAATTTTCCAAAGATCAATAATAATTCTGTTTAAAAGAAATGAAAGAAAAAATATTTTAATTCAGTCAGAGGGTACAATTTAGATTAAAACAGAGGTTCTAAACCTCTAGTTACTAAGGCCAGGATGATTATTCAGGAGAAACACCAGTCACTGTCACCATCCTCGTGGCCTCCAGTATTCCCAGTGAAGGCACAGTGACAGACATAAGGGTGAAACCACTGCCCCCCATTTCCACAGTTCCAATAAAATTTCAGGTATGGGTAGTACAGACTGTTGCCCCAGAAGTAGCTCCCTCCTTGCAGCTACTTCCCATCAAGTGGATAGGAAACTCTGAAGTCAACTACATCATTAAGACGATTGTGCCTAGTGAAGAGCTGGTGACTCGATGAATCATTTACTCAATGAGTGGTTAACCACAGCATCAATAAAGATCTTCCTCAACTTACAATGGGGTTACGTCCTGGTAAACCTATCATTAGCTGAAAATATCGTAAGTTGAAAAGGCATTTAATGCAGCTGACCTAGCACATCATCACATAATAGCTTAGCCTAGCATACCTTAAATGTGGCTCAGATCACTTACAGTAGCCTACAGTTGGGCAAAATCATCTAACCAAACCTATTCGATAATAAAGTGCTGAACAGTTCATGTAAATTACTGAGTACAGAATTGAAACCGAAAGGCAGAATGGTTGTAAGCGTGTGAGTGTAAACTGCCTGTGATTCCGTGGCTGACTGGGTGCTGTGCTGGCTGCCCTGCCCAGCATCAGGAGAGGGCACATCCAAATTCAAAGTGCTAACCTGAGGGCAGATCCAAATTCAAAATACGAAGCATGGTTTCTACTGAATGCATATCACTTTTGCACCATCACAAAGTCAAAAAAACATAAGTTGGGGACTATCTGTACATTATATATAATTTACATATAAAGCATTCTCAAATAAATCCATATTTAAAAAAAGTATTTTTTAGTATTAAATGATTTATCCTAGAGTATTATGAATAGCAAGTGCTCTTGTATATTTAAAAGGATGTTTTTTCAAATTTGAGATAACATGAATAAAACACTAGCTCAGTGCCCAGCATCTACAGGGTTATGCATTTCTGGACTTTCGAACTTTAGTTAGTGACCATTTAAGGACACTTCCAGTCTTCTGGCAGCCCAAGCTGAAATCTGGCATCACCTCGCATTCCTTTATCTCTTACCTTTAGTCAGTCACAAAGTCATAGATTCTATCCTCCTAACTTCTCTCAACTTTGACTTTTGTCTCGTACTTTCCAGCCATTCAGTATTAGCTCACATGGAATGTACATGTACCTATTTCCTTAATACCATCAAATGCCAATAAATGTGTCTCTCCCTGCAAAACCACATTTAATGAGCATTTACTGTCAGACACATGCATTATATTTACCTCTCATCTACTCCCTAAGACATTGCTATGCCTGTCTCATGGATATAGAAACTAAGGTTTATAGTGGGCTTAAAATTTAAACTCGAGGGCAGAGCCAAGATGGCATGAGTAGAGCAGCAGAAATCTCCTCCCAAAACCACATTTATCTATGAAAATATAACAAAGACAACTCTTCCTAAAATAGAGACCAGAGGACACAGGACAACATTCAGACCACATCCACACCTGTGAGAACCCAGCGCCTTGCGAAGGGGGTAAGATACAAGC